TTTCCTTCCTCCCCCTGCCCCCCTGTTGATCATCTCCTCCCACAGCAGCGGTTCTCTCTCTTGCTCTCATAGAGGACATATGTGACTATTACTTCTTATGCACCAGAATAAGGCCACAGTGGTATAGGGCAAGGCAACTATGGAAAAACAGGACAGGCAATGAGCTAACTGACAACTACCGGCTGCTGGGTTTAGGAGCACCAAATAATAGACCAGCCTTTGAAATCACTCTGTTTGCTACACTAAGGAAGGCAGTCATCCGGATAATCTGGAAAAAAACGATGCCTAGAGACAATAGACAGGAAAACAATGAGCGATCATGAGACCTGGGCTTTAATCCAACAACAGGTGGAAAATGACTATTGGGTTGTCCAGAGAAACGTCAGACAAAAAATGGAGAAGGACCCAGGAAAGGAAGCAGATACGTTAAGAAATTTTGAGGAAAGCCACCCAGCAAAAGGAAAAATACCATCAGTAAAGGGAAGAGCCTTGCTTTTTCAAGTTATGGGGAGAAGGAACAGGAACGTTCAGGATGAGAGTGCCTCCGTTGCCAGTATGGGCACAACAACAGAAGTCAGCATGAGGACAGCCTAAGCTGCCAGTGGCAGGAGGAGGGTACAAGATATGCAATCGGAAGAGGCTAACAGAGGCAGGGAGAAAACGGACAGAGGTGCAGAGAATGGGAACAGTTGAAAAACCATTTGCAATGCAAAGAGATAGCAGTGCCAGGTAAAGAAACAGACACAGGAAGGCGGTGTTTTGATCCTTCACTAGCTGGCCAACCAAGGCCCTAGCACAGCATGTTTGTTTGTTTGTTTGTTCGTTTGTTTGTTTGTTTGTTTGTTTGTTTGTTTGTTTGTTTTTTTTTTTTTTTTTGTGTGTGTGTGTGTGTGTGCGTGTGTGTGTGTATGTGTGTGTGTGAAGAGAACCGGGCTCAGCGTCCCTTACGAAATACATAGTTGAGAGTTTGAGGAAAAAAATGCGCACGAAGCAATCAGAGAAAAAACACTGTGCTGGCAACCGGGTGCAGCGTCCCATGCCTTCGACTGACTAATCTGAAACAAAAAAAACTGGGGGTCTGCCTCTTCATCCGTTTCGCAGGATGCCAGATCCTACGCAGAAAGCTAGCAGCCCTTGTCTCCCTTCCCTAACCCATGGCCTGGCCACTGAGGGGCACCAGTGGGTCCTCCTTCTGTCTCCTTGCCCCTCCCCAAAATTCTCCTAACTCTGTGCTATCCTTTTCTTTTTTCCAGAAAAACTTCATACGAAACGGTATTCACCTGCTAGCAGTAGCGAATGCAGATCCCAGGGCTCGATCCCTAGACTTTACCTTACCTGTGTACATTACCTGCATCGACCCCGAGAGTTGAACCCCTGTCGATGGGTCGTAGGGTCCGTAGGTTGTAGGGGTTCGATCTGTAGACCTGTCGGATAGAGGTCTTAGTGAATTCTAGAAGTCGTAGCTGTGGGACTTCTGAAAGGTCAAGGTCGTCGCTGCGACAGTCCCGAAGGGTCAAGGTCGTAGCTGCTACAGTGTCAAGGGTCAAGTCCACAGACTTCCGGAAGGTCCGGAAGTGGCCCTTCACACGTTGTTCACAGTAGTCCAGAGGCAAGTGGGCAAGTGGTGGAGTCCACCTGTGTTGACTCAGCGGTACCCAGTCCCAGTCAGTCCTAGTCCAGTCAAGCAAGTACCGTATGGGACTGTGTGCACCACGGGCATGGGAAAGGGGCAGACCAACGAGTTACAGAAGTATAAATCAAGAGGCAGCGCCCAGCCATTCATTCATTCCTGCGGAAGCCATGTGGAAGTGCTGCCACAGCAACTTGTGCAAGGTGATCTGCAGTATGCCCGAAGACAGAGTGGGCGAGAAGGAGAGTTTAGCCATAGCGGTAGAGG